CAAAGAAACTAGTGCTAAATTTAAAAAAAGTAAGGGTGGAAACACCAGCAATATTCGGTCTTACATTCCAGAAAGGTCATGTATTTGACACTCCTAATTACCGCCCACGCCTCTTCTGCTAACAACGCCGGGGTCTCTCCCTCTCCTCATGCGCCGTTCACAGGCAGTCGGTAGGTGTGGTGTATGGGGCACCTTTGAGCTTCTCTCTCACTCTTTCTCTCCAGATCTCTGAATTAGGGTGCTCTTACAGTTTGTAAATATGTAAATAGTTAATTTGACCTTCTTTCTCACTTTTTCTTTCAGGATCTTTGGATTAGGTTGTTCCTATAGTTTAGCCTATATGCAAATAGTTGAGCTTGTAAATATTTAAATAGTTTGCTTTATTGTCTCCCTCTCTTTGTAGATCTTTTACAATCCGATGTAACAGCCAAAGTACCTAATTGTACTTGAATTTGGCCTGAAAAATGTGGAATCAGTACATCCCTTAATGAAGTGATGCAAGTTGGGGAAGGAATGTCCAGATCAGTATCGGGGCCAATCAAGGTATTTTTTAAACTGATCAGTATCGGCGATACTGAGCTTCATTGACCCAGTTCATTCTGTTGTTTTACATCAGCTGTCACACAGTTCGATTTTTATGCAAAATGCAGTCATCATCAACTCTCTCCACTGTCTCTTTCCTCCACTCTGCTGATCTCCGTGTGCGTGTGTTACAGTAGGTGCTCAGAGGAGAGACAGCGGTCGGGAAAACATTCTGCTTGTATGATCAGTGTATTTTCGGAAATTCAGAGTTTTATATTTTAGAAAACAGAATAGAGGAACCTACAGTAAATTACAAAGAACAACAAATATCAGCTGCTGCTCTTTGTTGACCAACATACTTGCACTTAGTTTTTTTGTCTCACCAACATTTTAGTAAACAAATTAAATAACGAGATGAGGAGAATCATTCAGGTAAATTCACTATGCTCTACATTGGCAACTTTGTCACTAAGCAAGTGCTTTAGGTCATAACTAGAAAGAGTAAGGTTACCGACAGAGAGGTCACCGTGTCACAGAGCTGCATTTTTCTGCTGCCTGTCCACAAAAACCACATCAGAAACATTCAAAAAGACCTAACAAACAATGTGAGGGAAAAAAACAACCATACTGTATCACAGAAATAAGGTCAATTTCATCTCTATCTTTCATGCTGCTCATGCTGATCCTTTTAAAACACCATCTACGGTATATAATCTGTAGTAGGATGCATGGCTGCTGCCTGAGGGAGGGGAAATAAAAGAACATATCACAAGACCATTACCATGGGAGAGCTTAAATGTCAACAGCCTACAAACGGCTTTTTATTAGAGTGCGACCGCGAGTATGAAATCAAATTCACTCGACCTCAATCACAAGACTAACCTTGTCGGAGTACATCTACTGACTGGAGCGATTTGAAAACAGTAAGTGCTAACGTCACCAACATCTATCCTGGTCTGCGGAGGGAGGACTTTGCCACTGACATAAAAGGCCTACAATTAACAGCTGCTCAGCAGAATGGAAATAAAACTCAAAGGTGCAACAGCAATATAATGTACTTAATAAGCTTAAATCGCACACTGGTGCAGCTGAAAAAAATGATAAATGAGAATGTGTGAGGGAACTACAAAACTTATGAGAAGCAAGTGAGGGACGCAAACTGGACACCTTAACCAAGGCTGAAAACGCACCATCGTTAATTGGCTCACCTCTTTGTGTCTCTTGTTTCTCACAAACCAAGAGATTGTGACGGACAAAATGAAGATAACAAAAACATGTTTTACAATCTCTAAAACATGTCCACCAAATGCAGAGAGAGAGAGAGAGAGAGAAGAGAGAGAGAGAGAGAGAGACACTGGTCTAGATTGCAGAAGTTCAGTCCAGGAAGAAAATCAAAACACTGTCCCACCCAAACACAGCACTAAGATGATCAGAATAAGTTTATTTAGAAAGTTTGAACCCAGATTTTGAAGTACTGTATGAAAATCCATTATAGACAAAAGCAAACAATAGTTCAAGGCTAAAGACAAAGTCAAAAGCTAAAGACTA